TAATCACAGAATCACAGAATATTCAAGGTTGGAAGGGACCTCTACAGATCATCTAGTCCAACCTTCCTGCTCAAGCAGGCACACCTAGAGCATGTGGCACAGGGTGGCATCCAGGCGGGTTTTGAAGACCTCCAGAGAAGGAGACTCCACAACCTCCCTGGGCAGCCTGTTCCACTGATCTGTTACCCTAACGGTAAAGAAGTTCCTCCTTACCTGGAGACGGAACTTCCTGGGCTCCAGCTTATGGCCATTACCCCTCATCCTATCACTGGCCACCAGTGAAAAGAGCAAATCTACTAAGAGTAGAGTAATCTAAGAGTAAGTAAATCTAAGAGTAATCTACTGCCCATAAGGCCTCTGCTGTCATTTGCAATTAAGTAACTTAATTCCAACTCTAAAACACAGCTACCACTGTTTTAACCTGCAGGTGGAAGGCCATCTCTACCAAAGTCCCTTCAGCCAGACGTTTCCTTGTCTATATAATGTGCACAGACTTAATAGCAGCTTTTATTTTACTCAGTGTGGTTACTGAGGCTACTTGCTTTTGAAAGCACCATTAAATCCACAAAGCTGAAGGCAATTAAGCACAAAACAGTGCTAAGGGCTGATTTACAAACGGGTTTGATGCACAAAACCCAGAACAGTCTGGACTCAACCTCAGCCCATCCTGTCTGGCCCTCTGCGCAAGAATGTTCTTCACACAGTGTGTGATCTTCGCTTGTCTGACTGTGCTCAGTGGATGGAAACCGGGTCTAATGCAACTCCCCTAGCTTTTATCTGCTTAAATCAGAACCCTATTATTATTTTAACTTTACAATCACTTAATTAAAGCAATGCCCTAGCCAAAAAAAATTGCCTGGGTGGCCTGAGTATTAAACTGCCATGTTTTCCATGACCTGCCCTTTCTGCTGAGTTCACGAAATCATGCTTGATCACTAGGTCTGGGTGGGAGTTTGGCTTGTGAGGATTATGAGTACATTACTAGCAAAGCCTACTTGATWTATGCACAATTTTTCACTGAAACTGCAAAACAAGTAGCCGTCAAGTTAATGCCACTTAATGCTGATGGCTTTGAAGGGTCATGGAAAGCCATCCTTTCTATGGTTTAGCAAAAAATCGTGATTCTAGGTTAGAGTTATAAATGAATAAGTAAATTATTTACGCATTTCATTCGATTGGCCCCTGCTCCAAACTCATTTAGTATCTAACAGTTTTGTTCTTGTCCTATGTCCTGCACGGAGATTCAATGAGAGATTGTACAATGTTCCACTGCCTGCAGAGCTTCCTGTCTGGTGGGTTTTTTTTCATTTATTTTTAATTTTCCGCTTTTAACAATATTGGCTTGATCTGATATGAAAACAAGAAGMAGTTCTAGTTCTAGCACTTGACTTATGTTTGCTGAACGCTATATCATAAAGTACAAATTGATTAAGTTTATCAAAAAATGATAATGGGCAAGATATGTATGCATGTAAAATACATTTCAAGGTACTTTGCCTGTAAAATGTAGCCCACTCAGGAGTGCACCTTTGCTCTGGCCACATGAAGGATTTTTCTAGATTCTAAAGCAAAATTAGGACCTTCATGCTTCCTGCCATATTTAGAAAATCTCACTGGTGTCACTGGAGCTAAAATGTTATAAAAAGAACAGTTTAGGTAGAGGGGGGTTTGTAGTCTTAAGACAAAATAGTCTTAAATGAGGTGTAAGCAGCAAGGGAGATCTTCCTGGATAGGGAGCAGCTCCACACTGGCTGAGGTCTAACATCCAAGTGTAGGGACCACGCTGGTCACAGCAGAAGTGGCTGGAGCCTGAACTCACTCTGCCTTATGGACTGAGCGCTCACATGTATCCTGCTAGAAGAGGAATGGATGSGATCTGCTGCTTCCTGAATAGACTCTGAACTACATTCACGCCTGCTACTAAGTGCAAAATTACAGAAATTCAGCAAGACGTCCTGTCAAATGCAGCTTTGTTAGAAGAGGAAGCCAACTGCTAAATTGGAGCAGCGCACTTCATAAGCTTAGAGACAGAATGAGTATTTACCTTGGTTTTAATAACAATATACCACAATATACCCTCAGTGAAAATGACTGTTCCCCCTCAGGAACCCTATGACTAAGTGTAGATTTTCTAGAGCAGTCACAGGATTTGCTCTGTGTCATATCGCAGCTCTGGTTTATCGGAGTGGAAGAAYGGGTATCTTGAAACCCATGGCATTAATCACATGAAAACTGCCCTCCTTGATTAAATCTGCCTCAAAGCAGGAAAAACTCAAACTTAACTAATCAAGAGTAGAACTGGCCACCTCCCCAGAACAGAAGTGCTTAGTAGGAGAGTAACCAAAACATGTGGTAGTTTAAAAGGAAGATGAGAATTAATGCAGTAAAAGAGATAAATCAAAATTCCTGTAAACTTAGAAATCAGAGGTCAACACATGACCAGCAAAGAGATGTTGTGATAACTGTAACCATGTCCTCAACATATAAATAGACACAAAAAATGATTATACATGAAGATACCATGACAACCAGTGARGCCAAAGAACATCAATGGACTGAATGACACCAAAGGGAAATAGTGTAGGAAGATATTTAGGGGGGTTTGTTCCTGGGATACTGTTAAAACACAGGATTTACTAGGTCCTATCAGTGTGATAAAAATATTTGATAAATATGTGAAGCTTCTTTGTCTTTTGGGGTAATGTAGGGCATTTTTCTTTCTTTCCCACTCTGTCAATGACTACTGTGATGATACAAAGGGGCATAAATGGGAAGCTGAGTCTGATGGAATAGGTACACTGTTTTTGACTTTTCCCAAGTTTTCTACTTGATCCTTGCAGCATGTGACAGTGTGACCATTAGTAGAGGGCCTTGTGAGTACATTTCTGGGTAAAAGAAGAAGTAATACCGTCATCTAAAAAGTCTACTTTCCCTCTGTTTCCTCAGAAGAGCAGCAGTATATTGCTTAGTGAGTGTATAAGCCCATTCTTGTTTCATTATCAGAAAATCCTGGCACTGATTCCCTGCGACAGGAAAGCGAACGCCTGTAGAGAGGCCGGGTGCGGCACGAGCAGTGTGGCTGTCATGCCATGATGGGAAACTAATTGATGTGAAGGCAAACACCTTGACAGACTGTCAGGCAGAACACATGCAGAAACAACCGGACGGCTGCGGTGCAACCCGGCCGTCTGTGCTGTGCTCGGCAAGCCCCGTGGTCCTCACAAATAAAGAAACTCCAGAAATCAGGACTATTTTAGCAATAGCCGCCAGAAGAGAGATGCACAGTCGTCTCAGCACACACAGCCCCTGTGCCAAGGCGGGATGAGCTATTTCAGAAAGCCCTGCATGCTAAAAACAGCCTTTTCTCCCCTGACAGGAAATCTCAGTTTTTGTCACAAATTCTTTCCTCTCTCTCCAACAGCAGCGCCCACTGTCAGCCAAATCCTGACAGGCTAAGTGGAGTCGTATCCATTTCTGCCCGCTCCCCTTCAGACCTGCAAATAATATCCCCGATTTATCCTCTGCTGCCAGGCACGGGGCACCGCTGGTGGAAGGGCTGGGAAGCAGAACTTGCTTTCTGAGACCAGCAAAAAAAGAAGCCCAAATCCGAGCGGGCACGGCAGGAAAAGCAGCAGCAAGACGTGTGGGATGGCCCAGCGCAGCAYGGTCTCCTTTAAAGGTGCCAGCAAGCCTCACCAGAACAGGATGTCAGGATAATGTAAAGAATCCACTTTTTTTTCCTTATTTTTTTTCATTTGTCCCCGTCATCAGTCCCACGCCCCCTCCCCCTAAGTAAATGAAATCAATCAGCAGGGATTTCTGTAAAATACATAAAACAGTCATCTTCCAGACTCTACCAGAAGATAAACGGTTCCAGACATTGGACCGCAGCCATTTTCCCACACATGCTACAGTGTTTTGTCATCCATATTGGGCCATAAGAGTGAGTCTTTTTCTTTTTTTTTTTTTTTCCCCAGTCAACAGCCAATGCTTCTCCTTCTAGCACAGAGCAACTAGTACATTAAAACCATTGCAGAGAGAGTCATTTTCTTTTCAGCACAGTTTGTAATAGAGCAATTTCATTCTTAATCTTATGGGATCCTGTACCTAATTCTCACACGTCTCTGCTCTGCTATCACCTAATGTTGTCACTGCCAGCTAGGGCTTCTCAACCCTGCCAGCTTTAAAGGACAGCAAACCAAACAAACCACTGAGCCGAGCGGAGCAGCAAACTCTGAGCAGGGCAAACCTCATCTGAGAACTTTCTAACAAGAAATAACAGGACTGTGCACACCCGCTCGTGCTGGGTTTTGTACCCCTTTTCAGTGAAGGATACAGATACACGACAAAAGGTGCATCGCAATAGGAGTTTACAGTTAATTTTAATGAATTTTCAAGCAAGCCCTTAATAATCTGCTAACATAAAATGCACCCTGGAAAGAACCATGGGGTTTTCTCTTTATTAAGAAATGTGCAACAAAATTCTATCCTTAATTAAAACARGAGTAATTTTATTAACGGCAGGAGACTTAAACCTGACTTACCTCAGTGTAAGTGAGGGTAGAATTTAGCCCTGGGCTGTTTATATGCTGTAGTTCCAGTTAGTTTAGATCTATTTGGGTGGGAACATCTTTCCCCTTTCCAGAAAAACTATTCTTGCCCACCCCTTTTCACCTCACATGAGGCCAAAGCAGGCTTTTTGTTCTAAKATATTTTTCAGAAAGGTTACAAACAAATCTTAGCCTCCACAGGAGATGACCTTATTAAACAAAACTACCCTCTGAAGTGAGGGACACCAGCAGTTTTAAAGTTTGTTTACAAGTTTTCTAAACAAGCCACCTCAAGCAGATAAGCTTATTTACACCTTAAAAATAAATAAAACCTCTAAATAAAAGCTATTCAATAAAAGAGATACTTATGCTTGTTTTTAAAGCCGCAAAACTCTTCCAAACAGCACTAGCTGCTGTATTAAACATCACTGCTACAGTATAGAAACTTACTGTCCACAGATATCCTTAGGCTTCCCTGTACCTCTGAACCAAAATCACTTTCTTCTGTACTTCATGTTGTGGTTTCTTGCAAAGTGAGGTGCAGATGCTGACAGATGGCTCCTGTGTCACCCAGAGCTGCTTCCGCCGCGTTATCTGTGCCAGCTAATACTTCCACGATGCTTCGCTGTTGTCTGTGGAGCTGTGCTCTACATCATTTCTAGTCTGATCAATGCTCGGCTTGGTTTTAGGTTGGCTTCTAGTCCCGCCTCCTGCTCTTGAAGAAACGAAAACTCACAGCTGGATTTTCTATAAATCATCCCTTTTAGCAGTGGCTGAGCAAGTATGGCAAACGCTGCAGCTAAGACCTACTGCTCTATTTGAAACTTCAAAAACAATCCCTCATCTTAATGATGCACACATGAAAGTTGATCATGTACTAAAATCACTAATTCTGAAAAATAGCGGCCAGATAATTGTGACCTTCAGGGCTTAGAAGCTGATTAATGTAACACAAAGCTCGTCTCTATTCCACAGGGAGAGCATGGTAAAACATACTGCCTCGGTGGATTGTTTTTATATAGTATTTTGCTTTGAAAGGGGTCTTGTCATTCTTACAAAGATAAATTTATTTTTACAATATAGAGCTTTTTTGATGGGCTAACCCAGAACACATACATCCAGGCTAGCAGCCCTTAGCTAGAGAGCATTTACTATCAATCTTTTAAAGTGGAGGCAGGAAATATACTTTTATTTTCTGTACAGCACTGAATGCACTATACTGCTCTGAACTCATTACCGTGTTTAACAAGGGATAAATGCAAGGTGGTACCATAAAAACAGCAGTACGAACTTTGTTCCCATGAACACAGCAAGGCAGAGCCGAGGCTCTGTGAACTGTGCAGCGTTTTAATCCTCCACCCTCCAGACTGTGCTGCAGAAATTAGTAACTACCAGGCACACCTGGATGCATCTGGAACGACTTGGTAAGTCCAGAGGTTCTCAGATATTTCCAGAATGAGAGCCACATCCAGCAGAAAGTGTCACACGGGCTCTCTGTCCCCTGCCTGATGATTAAAGCAGTCGCCTTTCTCATTAAGGACTGAGCATGTTCCGGAGGGGGCCGCAGCCCCGACCATTGTCTCAGGCTCACTTAGTAACAATCATTGGAAAAGAAGAGGTGCCCCAATAGACTCAGGCACCTATGGCTTTCCCCTGGTGTGTCCCTTCCAGCAATCGGGATGTGGGGACATCCTGAGGTGCATGGAGCAGGATGGCTCTGTTCAGTACTCCTGACACACCAGCCTCCTATGAAGGACTGAGTCCCTTTTTGAACTTCATATATGCTGGCACTTGATTACACTGAATCTCAATGAGTCTGAAATACATAGTGGAAAAAATATGGACAAAAAAAATGTACTTCTGCCAATTTACACCCATTGTCAAACCATTTCATTACATGCCACATCATTCTTACAGGTTCAGTTTTTCCACAAGATAAATGATTTCACAGGCTCTTAACATATCCTACTTAATCCTCTTTTTTCCTAAGCTGAAGAATCTCATCTACTTGGTRTCTGTGCTGATCAGCCTTGTTGCCTCTCCATATGTACCACTGATCCTAGTAGGAGTTATAGTAAGAGTAGGTACTATAAGAGATATAGAGACTCTAGTAAGAGGTAAGTAAGACTTAGTCCTTCAGTTCAGATGCCAGAAGCTCATACAACATGCTCTGTGCTCCAGCTTTGCACATTCCTAGCCTGCGATGGCAGTTCTGTGGAAATGTGGAAACGTTTCCTGTTCTGTTTCCCTGATTACAATTTTGCAGGCGATAACTGAGCACAGTCACCCTGAGCTCTCCACAAGCACCACGAAGCGGTCTGCGCGCGAGAGTTCGGGGACAACCGCTCCAGACTAATTCCCAAACCGCCACTCGCCAGGAAGCAAGCAGCACGGGGTGAGTAGCCAGGAATGCTCTGAGGTGGAGGCAGCGCAGCTCCTGTGCAGCTCCTGCTCTCCCAACTGGCAGCCACGGGCCCTGGGCTCATGGCCAGGCAGCTGCGACTGGGGCTGGAAGTGCTGCAGCGACAGTGCTCTCCTGTGGATGCACGAGCCGACGGATGCCAGCGGCTACAYGCAAGGGAGTGAAATTCCCAGGACACAAGCATCATCCCTGCGCCTGATCCAAATACACAGAGGCAAATATAGATAATCTGCTTTCCAGGTGCTGTTGCACATTTGATAGCTGCTTATCAGCTGTCAAAACAGACATGATTGATTAAGATTACTTGTTTGACCTTTAAAAGGTACTTGGAAATCCATAAATAGGACTAATCAGTAGCATATCCCCATAATTTTGAATCTCTAGCAAAGGTTGTAAGAGGCGATTAAAGTCTTAATATTGCAGTGCGACAGGCATTAAATATGTGGAAGATGGGGAATCTTCCAAGGACTTTTACTGAGTATTTTGTCTACTGGTTGAAGTGGTTTTTATACCACACAGGACAAGATTTTGGCTTTCTCTGCCCTGAGACTTTTGACCATTGCCTGAATAACAAGGAAAAAGCACACTGAAGGTGAAAATAAATTTATTTGTTCTTCTCTTTGGTTTCATACTTCATACTGAATTCCTTTGGGATGAAACTAAATGGGAAGATCTGTTTCTGCCACTACTGAGCATTCAATTTACAGGATCAAACTTGAGTAAATACAAAATAAAACAACGGAAAATGTAGATTTATCAGAACAGCTAAATCTGCATTTATCACTCTGCAAAACTGCTCTTCCTGAGCCACACTCTTTGCTAATTGTAGACACAGACCTACAGAAGTGTTCTGTGCACCAGGATGGCTGCAGACCATCAGAGAAAACGCTGRGGTACTGGAAGCTAAATCATCTGCCCTTCCTATTTGCAGTCTCTCCCATAGTTTTTCCCCGATTCTGTTCTGGACCACTCCAATGAACTTTMTCCAAAGAACTGTTGACATGAATCAGTCCTTGCTCCCTGGGCTTGGGATCCTTGGTTTAGCAGTACTGGTGCAGTGCTGTCCATGAAGGGCAGTAAGATAGTTCCCCCTGCCACCCTTCTGCAGRTGCTGCCATTCTCACTTCTCCCTGCTCTTGAGCAAGTTCAGAGATCTTCTAAGATAGGATACCAGATCAGACCTCAGTAAAAAATCAGAGACGTCTTCCCAAATTGTGACTTTGGAGGTCAGATATGAGAGATTATGCTCCTAATTGATCCCTATGATCAAATGATCATTTATAAAGATTAGGTATCTCATAAGTCATCAGGTAAAGTGAAGAATTTGGAGATGTATTGATTTAGTCTTTTGGTAAGGTGAACCACAGGCAAGAAATATCTATGGGTGATATTTGGGATATGGGATATGGATATTTGGGATATGGGATATGGGATATGGGATATGGGAGATTAAAGTGCGCCACAGATCTGCATTCAGGCCTTCTAACCCACTAAATGTCTTTGATGACCATCTGAGTATCACCAGAAGAAATGTGGACATATGTTTTGATGGATAGATTTATGTCAAAGTCAGATCTTTTCCCTCAGTGTAAAGAGCTRATTTTYAAGGAGCTAGGACTCTAGCCARGGACCTTCAGTGCTAACAGCCGGTGAAGGAAATATGTTTGAGAGGCACAGGCTCTAGTGAAAGTTTGCCCTATCTGGATCTTAACAATCACAGAATCATAGATTGGATAATTCAGGTCAGAAAGGATCTCAGGAAGTCTCTAGACCAATCTCTTTGCTCTTCAGGCTGTTCTAAATACCAAGTTCACAAACGGTTACAGATTCCCATAGGCACTTCAGAGATAGGAAGAAGGGRAAGAGTGAATTATTTACCATTTTTTTTTGCTTCAGTGACTTGCAGAGAGAAAGGATCTCCCTTTTCATGCATCCAGGATTGCTGCATCTGCTTGTCCCAGGATTCTGTTTTGCAGTTGAAGAAATTTAACACTTTGAATCTTTTACCACGGGGTTGTTAAGGGAAAGGCTTTAATAGTTTAAAGGTAATCTGTAAAATCAGCTTTCATACTGTGCAGTGCCTTTGCTTACAATGTGGCAAAGAGAACAGAAATCCTGTATTTTGTATCTCAAAACTAAGATGCTTAAGAACATATTACACTTATTCACACTGTCAGAATTTGCTTTTGCAGTCATTTAGGARATACTAGCTAGAAATATCTTGAGCTTTTAAGAAGAGATACAAGCACAYTGTGAAGAAAGGATCAGCAAACCTCAACTCCACGTGTGACAGGAGTTCATGTTGTACCATCCTTGACATAGACTCACTCAAGTCCAGACCAACAGCTTCTCCCTACATCTGCTCTTGCGAGACTGCTCTGGTACCTTCCTCCTCTGGTGGTCAGGAACTTGGTTTTCAGCTGCAGGTTGTTCTGTGCCAGGTTACACACACCATTCTTTGGCCAACACAGGCCTTCACTTCAAAGAGCTTTTTCTTCTCACCAGTGTTTACTTTCTAATTATAGGTAATGAGAGCAGCCCTGTGCCTCCTCACTTTGTTCTGTCTGCTGACAAAAGACTAAAACACAGCCCACTGTTTCATTCTTTTTTAGGAAAAAAAAATAGCTATTTTACCTCCAGTCCTGACAACCTTTCTGAATCTGTGGATGACAAATAAACTCAGACTAGAAGATGGGGAACCTGAACTGAACACAGTGATGAGGCTCTACAGTGTCCTGTCCTTGGCTCGCCTGTGGGGATACACTGCCTGACAGCCGAGGGTGGCACTGCCTTGCTAGGCCGTATTTTGTTGAGTGACTTGTAGTTATTTTCTAATCTGCAAATACATTCAAGCCTTTGTTCYCCCCTGTCGCTCCCAACTGCCACCCTCCCAGATTATGCTGGATAAATATCCTGCTGCTGTCCTTTAATCATGTTCTTGTGCAGCTGATAACTGCAGTACAGCTATAACAGGAGATTGAACCGTGCGGAGAAGGAAAGTACACAGAGCCAGTGCCCTGCTCTGCACTCCGGCTTCGGCCCCGCCACCTGCCAACTTCCTTTGATCCCTTTT